TTTTCAAACCTTGGAGCCGGTTGGTCCTGAGGTCTCAGAGGTATTTTCCCACTGCTCTTTAATCTGCAGGCTTCAGTACTTAAGCCTAGTCAGGTCCCCATCCACTTTGTCTCCTGTCAGTGGCTGGTGACAGGAGGGCGCTGGCCTGGGGCGGACAGCAGGCTGTGCGGGGACCAGGCACTGGGGCTGAGAGCAGGGAGAGGACCCTTAACCGGGCCACCAGCCCCCTTCACCCACAGTGTGGCTTGTAATCCTCCCAGCCCCATGTGAATAGCTGTGGTCTCCCTCTCCTTCTCCCAGGTGAGACACAGCCAAACCAGGACAGGTCCAGGGCGGATGGACATGCAGTGCTGTGACATTTCTGTCCTCAGTCAGGCTTTCAGGGTGGAGAGAGCTTTCTGACAAATTTGGGCAGAGGAAAACGAGAGATGAACAGCAGCAGGTTGTTGGGGTCCTTGGCCATGTTTCCTACACTGGGGCAGGAAGAGGAGACAGGCACACCTCTGTCTCCAACCCAGAGCTTGTGGCACCTGAGGTAGGGGAGTGAGCAGCAGTGCCTCCTCAGTGCTGAGAGCCAGGCCTGGCGCAGGGCTCCGTCCAGTGGGACCTGGGTACTGCCTTCCTGCTTAGAAGGCAGGGTTGGGCCGTGGACAGAGGTGACCATATGTGGCTGTGACCAGAACCATCCTCAGGACAGCCTGACCCAGGGCTCAGGACCAAGAACAGGGTGAATGGACTTGCCCAAGAATGTCCCCCGGGCGAGCCCTCCTCAGAATGAGCCACTGCCCAGACCATGGCTGCTTCCCCCAGCATCCCCTGCATCAAAGCATGCAAAGCCCTGGTGGGAGCTGTTGCTGTGTGATCTGAGGGAAGTCCTGGTCCTCTTGTGAAGTAGGGCTCCTAGGCAGCCAGCCTCAGGGTTGAGAGTTTCCTGACTGCTGATGGACTGGCAGGAGCTCCGCCTGTTCCCCTTGGAGAACAAACATCACCTGGCCACTTTGGCCCCTTCTCCTTCCCGGTGCACCCCAGCCTTGGTGTGGATGTGACAGGAAATCCTCAGGTCTTGTAGACATGAAACCCAGAAACAGATTCTAAGAGCCACACAAGGAGTCTAGAAGTAGATTGGCCACATGAACTTTCCCAGCCTTCGATTCTCATTAGTCCACGCAACGTGTGAAACTTTAGCCAGCTGTATTCCATGGGCTCAGAGAGGTCCGGAGGCCACCTCTGAGCCACGCAGCACGCCCAGGGCACTTCCACCACTTTTTCCCACGCCGTCTCCGCGTGTTCCTTTAGGACCTGTACCTCGGATGCTGTGGGATGAACAAGCAGGCCTTTGTTCAGCAGCAGCCCTGGCTGTGGGTGGCTCCTGCAGAAGGGCAGTTTGCATTCCACCTTCTCTGCACCACAACTCTCTTAGCCTACGTTGTTTGTCTGGTAATCACCCAGCCCAACCGTGAAGGTCAGGGCCCCAGAACCACCGTGGGGTCTGCCGGCCATGACACTTGTCCACACCCACGCCCAGCTCCCTCACCTGCTGCCTCTGGCTCCACCTCTCCTGTCAGCCTCATCTGGCTCCTGACTGGCTGGGTCTGTGCCTGCCAGGCCTCTGACTGTTGATGGCAGCCGAGGGCCCCAGAACTTGGCGTTCTCCATGGTCTCCTGCCTGGGCTCAGGCCGGTGAGGAGCACGTACCTTAGGAAGCCGCAGGAGTTGCAGGGCCCACATTGGGAGCCATGGCTGTGGTCAGAGCTGGCTGCCCTGCCGACTTGTCTGTCCATCCCAGGCTGTTCCTCTGGGCTCCTCGGGGCTGGACGCAGTAACTGGGCAGTAACAGTGGGGAGCAGACGAATCTTGTGCCTGGTTCCCCTGTGCTCAGGGAGGGGAGAGCCCTGTCTCAGCACATGACCCAGCTTCCTGTCCTCACTGCCTGGCCCTGCCCTGAGCTCTGTATGTCTCACCTTCCCTTCCCTCCTTGGACCCTGCTTTCCCATCCAGGCTGCAGTGATGGTGTTAGAAAAGCAAGGTGCCTCCCAGACTGGTCCTGTGGCTGTCAGAGGCACCTGCTCACAGCACTGCCCCATCCTCTGGGTGCGACTGTCTCAGACCTGCCCGGCCCCAGCTGAGGGAAAGAGGCAGGGAGGACCACTCTGCTCGGGCTTCCTGAGTCCTCCCACTGAGGGTCATTGTGGAGTTTGGCCCACGTTCCAGACAGTGCAGTCAGGCTTGGAATGTAGCTCAGTGGCAAGCACAAGGTCCTGAGTTTGATCCGTGGTACTGGAAAAAAACAAACAAAAACCCAAACAACAAGGCCAGGGATTTAGCTCAGCAGCACAGTGCCTGCCTGGAAAGCACGAGGTCCTGAGTTTGATCCCCAGTACTAAAACAAGACAACAGAAAACAAAAACCAGACAGAGTGCAGGTGTGAGTGGCACAAGCAGGCAGACATCTAGGCCGAATCACTGTGGTGAACCAGACTAAATATTCTCATGGGGGCCAGGGATTTAGCTCAATGGTTCTGGGCCTTCCTCAGGAGTGCAAGGACCTGCGTTCAATTCCCGGTACTAAATGTGTGTGTGCGTGTGTGTGTGTGTGTGTGTGTGTGTGTGTGTGTGGTGTGTGGTGTGTATATTCTCATGGCTCGGGACCAAGGACAGGGTGGTGATGAACTGAGCTTCTTCGATTTGGGAGAATCAGGGCTGAGTGAAAACTCAGGACCTTGCCTGGGCCCTGCTCTGCCCTTGCCAGCCTTGTGACCTAGAAGGGTGATGCTCTCTTTGGTTTTAGGGTCACTTTTCTTAGTTCTCTATGAGGAAATTCTTTCATTTCCCACTCATTCATTCAACAAATGGTTGTCAGTACTTACTGTGTGCCAGCCCAGTTCTGTTTGCTGGGGATGTAACAGAGAACCATGTTTGCGCCTGTGGTCGGGTGAGTGGGCTGACCTTCCCAGCCCCTCCTGGGACGACAGGACTCCGTGGGGGTGGTTTCTGGCCTGGGCATCAGGTGAACATTATGCATCCTGACTCCAACATCTGCTGTCTGTGATCTGGACTTTCCTGTCCACCTCTTTGAGGCTGTTTCCTGCTCTGTACAGTGGAGTTCCTCATTTGGGGGGCCGTGAGGACTTGAGTGAGATGCTGCCCAGTGATGACCACAGTTCTGGGACCTGCACATCTCTTCCTTCATGTGCGTCTCACAGTTACTGTCATGTCTTTGCTTTAAAAAGAGGAGAGGGGGCCAGGGATTTAGCTCAGTGGTTCTGCGGCCTGCCTTACAAGTGCAAGGTCCTGAGTTCAATCCCCAGTACCAAAAATAAATAAATAAATAAACAAATAATAAAAATAATAAGAAGAGAGGCGACCACAGAGAAGATACAGGGTTTTCCCAAGGCCACACAGCAGACTGTCCCCGTCTGCATATCCTGTGTTTGGCCCCTACATAGCAGCTGCCTCTCCAAGCGGCCCAGGCTGACCCACCATTTAATGCAGTAAAGGCTGCTGAAATAGACTGTGTTGAAAGTGAAAATGTGAGACAGACTTGTTTAAAAATATGGGATTTATTAATGTAAATTCCCTGTAGATAATTCAGATCATATAAATTAGAAAATTTCATGCTGGGTGTGGTGACACATACCTGTAATCCCACCACTGGGGAGATTGAGGCAGGAAGATGACTGCAAGTTCGAGGCCCACCTACAAAGATCCTGTCTCAAAAAATAACAGCATAAAAAATAACAAAATTTACTTTTCATTGTACAAAAATTCAGACCACATATTCAGAAACATGTAAATATGGAAGCCCCTCATAATCTACTCTGTATTTGAGTGAAAACCAGCGTTAATCCTTTGGTGTTTCACCTCCAAACCCAAACTAGCCCTGATGTTTTATCAGTATAGATACTAACGTTTGTATTGCATTCATATTTTTAATAATGTGGGACATGCATGCTAAATGTCTTGCTACTTTTTCATCTGTCTTAAAAGGTGACTATTATAGTGACCAAAAATAGTTGTCGTTCTCTAGGTTGAAGATGAGTCCCTTTCCCCCAAACCCTCCCTGGCCATCAGGATAGTGTGGCCTTGCGGATTCCTCATCTCAGTGTTTCCCCCTCACCTCTGAAAATAAATGAGTGTTACCTGAACCCCACTGACAAAAGAGGAAGCTGAGTCTCAAAGAGCAGAAGTGACGGCCCAGGTCCTGGGTACCAGATCCTCAGGAACAGATGTGAAAACCAGATCCCAGAGAGTGGCCAGTTGTCCGCAGAGGTGGACAGCAGAGTGGCAGGTTACTCTGGAGTGAGCACACTGGGTTGTCCCCTTGAGAGCTGCAAGAGGATGAACAGGTTAAAGCCTCTGCATGTGTTTGCTCTCCTTTAAAATCAGGATACTAATACCTATTCCATAGCGCAATGACAGGTGAAGGTGCACAAAAACTTCACAGCCGGCTGCAGTGCTCAGTCATGGCAGCCACTGTGGAGAGGGAAGAGCCTGCTGCACTGTTCAGACGCCCATCCCCATCATCCACTGTGTGGCGCAGTGAAGATCACTGCTCCGGCATTGGGAGGCCTGGGTCCAATCCCATCACACAGCTCGCGGTGGATGCTGTTCCATCTTCCCTTCAGCAGGGTCACTCACTACCCTGGCTGCCTGCAGTGTGGGCTGCTAACAGCTCACCACTGAGTCCTTCTCTAGGTACTGATTGGCTGGGCCCAAGCTCAGATCTCTCCCTGAGACACCCCACCTCCAAGGATGTTCCATGAACTTGTAAATATCTGGCTGCTGTGCCATCTGCCCCAGAGCTCCCTGTGCAGCGGGAACTGGCTGAGGCCTTTGTTGTGATTGCGTCACCAATCAGTGTGTCCAAACCTGCTCCGTTCATTCCTTGCAAAGAGAATGATGACCCATGGCAGTCAACCTTCCAGCTCAGAGTGTGTGGCCCAGGGAGCCCAACCTAAGATAATATTGATGGGAATGTTGTCCAAATCATTTCCTCCTCTGTGCCTCAGTTTTCTCATCTGTGAAATGGGGGATCCACCTCACAGGATGGTTAGGAGTATAAATGAGTTCATCTACCAGGACAGAACATGCTGAAAAGAGTGCCTGGGAAATGCTCAGTAAATGTCAGTGTTGTTGGTTTCTGTTTAGCCCATGGCGAGCAGTTAGTGGCAAGACCCAAATAAAACTTAGTCACTTCCTTTAACTGCTAGGTCCATCTGAACAGCCCAGGACACAATAGGGCTCTGAGGAATCTGAAGGCTGCATGATCTATCTGAGTATGGAAGCTGAATTGTTAAGGGTTTTAAAAATAGTCTGTGTCAGTCCTTGGCAAACACTGTGAGGAACCTACTGTGCACTGTGTCCCTTCCTGGTTATCTCGAGAGCCAGCAGGAAGCACAGCCAGGCCCCACTTCCGCTTGTCTCACTGGGAAAGATGGGAAGATAGGTTCGCAGATAATATAAGGTATCATGGAATGGAAGAAAGGGCCTTCACCACTCAACCACAGAGGGTATGAGGGTCCAACAGGGCCGAAGACAGAGCAGTCTCTCATTTGTGGGAGACAAATTAGGCCAGAAGAGGAGAGAGCATCCTGGACTTGTGGCCAGAGGAGGGGGCATTTGTGCTGGTTCTTAAAGGAGACCAAGGTGACTTGGAAGGAGTTGAGAGGAGAGAGTGTTCAGGCAGAGGGGAAGTGAAGGAGAAGGTGGCCTCTGATGTTCTTGGAACTCCAGTTCCTCAAGTGAAAATCTAGTCATGGCTTTTGCTGCGCAGGATTCTCCTATGTGTTCCTTCAGGTCAGAAGAGAGTTCAGGTTCCCCCGCCTGGCATTCAAAGTGCAGTTTTCCAGCCCTGCTGAGGCCCTGTGTGTTCCTTGACACATCCCCCACCTGGCGAGGCCCTGAGGAGAAGCAGAGACGTTAGAGTCAGAGACGCCTGGGTTCAGATCCCACCTCGGTCCCTCCTAGTTGTGGCCTTATGCAAATCAGCTGTCTTCCTTGATCTTCAATGTTCTCATCTATAAAACAGGGTGAATAATGCGTCTCCCAGCATCGGTGTGGTCACGGCCTCCTCCGTGGACTTGGGAGGGCCCTGCTCCCGGTGTGCGCACCATTGGGTGGACCCCTCCATCGCCACCGTTGCTCTGTGTGACGATGGTGATGCGTTGTCCCTGCCCAGATCGGGTTCTAAAGGTCTTCAGCTTTCGTTTTTCTTGGCTGGGGAGTTCTGGGGAGTCACGTGGTGAGCAGCCCGTAGAGAGCCCACCAGTGGGGAGCCCATGTGTGAGCTCAGAAGCCAGCTGCGCAACTCCGTGAGGTCTTCAGAGCCTGACACCTTGTGACCTGGTGACAGACCCTGACCTAGACCTGGGCCCTGAGAAATGATGTGAAACAAATGATTGCTGTTTAAGCCGCTCCATTTGAGCAGTTTGTCACAGGCAATGATGACTAACATACAGGACTCACATAAGAATGGCATCTGTAACGTGCCTGACACGGTGCCTGGCGCTTAGCTCAGGGCTTTAAAAGTGGGACCAGCACATGTTTCACCTTCATGCTGTTGCCGGATGACTGCCGTCCATTCTGCCTGTCAGAATTTTTCTACCATTCTTGAACGTTTCTAGAAAAGCGCCTCTGACCCTTCTCCCCAGGCCACCCTGTGTGATAGTGCACCTCCTCCGCTGTCAGGACCCCAGTCTCTGTCTGTCCGTCTGCATATCTGGCCCCTCCTTCTCCTAATCCCAGGGAAGCCTGCACAACCTAAAATGGGCCAAATTTGACTCAGGGCACCCGTCCTCTCTGTGTCCCCAGCCCCCGCCTGCCAGTTACTCTGCGCAGACTGGTAGGGCAGGAGGAACTCAGCAGGAGGCAGGGAGCACCAGGAGTGATGGATGCTGGGCTCCACTGGGTGGACAGAAGTGGGGCTGGTCCCCTCTGTCTTAGCCCCACCCTGAGGCCCTGCCGGGTCCCCGAGAAGGAAGGTGGCTTCAGCCTGCTATCTCGGGGCCCCTGTTGACAGAACGTGGCAGACAGGTGACCCTTCCATCCCATCTAGGCCGGTGATTTACCTCAGTGGTTCGGCCACCTGCCTAGGAAGAGCAGGGACCCGAGTTCAATCCCCGGTACTAAAAAAAAAAAAGTCTTTCCCGTGTTGCCATCTGCTGAACTCTAGGCCACTCATGTCGCCTTAGCGCCAAGCCTGAAAGCCCACCCTGGGGACCCTGTCCTCTCATGTTCCAAACAGCTAAGTTACGGCCTCTTCTAGGCTTCGGGTCCCCCATCTCTGCAGG